CTAGCAGGTTCTTCACAGACCCTAAACCCTAAACCCCAGAGATCCCACTACCCCCTTAATTCAGGAATAGAACCCTAAACTCTAACACCATCATATTGCGGCGCCGAATAAAGGGGCCTTAATAATTTGAATAGGGTTTTGGGGCCCGTGATACTAGATGCCAGATAAGGAACCCCCCACAATTAGCATCAACATGGCCCAAAAGCCTTCTATAATAGGGTCGTTGGGCCTAAAAGCCTTAAAATACAAGTCCTCTGAGGGTAAGGGATATTAAGGCGCCTGTGACTCTTAAAGTCTATTCCCCAAATAACGGATATCGGGGGGATCTCTGAGACCGGCCTTTGTTTGAGTTCAAAGCGGCCCCAAGAAAGCTCAAAGTCCTACAGACCCTGAACACTAAACACTAAACCCTAGAACCCTAAACCCTAAACTCCTAAACCCTAAAACCCTAAAACCCTAAAACCCTAAACCCTAGACCCTAAACTCTATAGGCCCTAAACCCTAGACCTCAAAGGAGTCATATTTTAAGGCTTTGGGCCCAAAGACCCTATTATATAAGGCTTTTCGGCTATTTTGATGCTAAGGGCTAGACTTAGACTCTGGAGTCCAGGGTTTAGGGTGGCCTTTGTTGGAGTGCTCGACCTCCAGCAGCTTGAAACGAAGAACGGCCTCCTCGAACTCCTGCGGCGTTTAGGGTTTAGGGTTTAGGGTTTAGGGCAGACACGAAGGAGTTCGGTTTAGGGTTCCCCTTAAGTTATTGAGTAAGGTTCCTTAGAGGGTATTCTTAACGGGATCTATAGGGTTTAGGTAAGTGTTTCTGTCCACAAGGCCCGAATTAAACTGCATGGAACCGAAATCCTGTAATACAAACAAACCACAGTAAACAAAAGGAAACCCTAAACCCTAAACCATTCTAGTTCTAACCCTTGAGCAGGAACACAGCTCAACAAGCAAATAAGAAAAACAACACACGCAAGCACATGTAAAGCACACACGCATAAGACATGGACCCACAACAAAGCCCGATACCGGGCACCAACAAAAAGAGCCAATACAAAAGTCGTTGACCCTACCCTAAGGCTCCTGGACCCTTGTAGTGAGATCCCAAACGCCAAAGCCGAAACCCTCCCCCAGAAAGCCCAAGACCCTCTTAGGAGCCATAAGGTAGCCAGTAAACCCTAAACCCTGGTCCCGAAACCCTAAGTCAAACCCCCTATACGAACCCTCAAAGGAATCCTTATACAAGCCCTGAAAGGAACTCAAACCCACAGGCTCCACATATGCTACGTACCATATGGAATTAGGTCCCTAAAGCCACAATATGTATGATCCTTTTGGAAATCCATAATGGTAGTATATATGGAGCCTCTAGGAAACAGGAACCCCTCTCTCTCTCTCTCTCTTTCCCTCCCTCCCGCTCTCCTAAACCCTAAACCCCTAAAGGAACTCAAACCAGAAACCCCTAAAAGGCAGCCTTAACAAAGCCCGAATAGAAACCTAGGGTTTAGGGTTTAGGGGTTTAGGGTTTAGGGGTTTAGGGTTAAAAAGAGAACAAAGAGATCCTCGGCAGGCAGCATGGCTCCAAGTCGCTTGTGCAGCCGCTGTCGCACCTCGCTTCAAACTCCCCAGAGAAGGGTTTAGGGTTTAGGGTTCCCAATACCCTTTACTTAAGGAATCTACCTTAAATCATACGATTAAAGCCCCTATAGTTTAAGGCATAACGCTTAAGGTCTTGCGGCAATGGCAGGAGGGTGGGGAAGGGATGGGGTTAGGGTTTGGAGTTCAGGGTTCAGGGTTTGGGGTTTGGGGTTTAGGGCTGAGGGCTTGGAGTCTAGGGTTTCTGGCTCCAGCGTGGTTCGGGTTTCGACTCGATGCCGAAATGGTGCCAAACTCAGATATTCGGCCTTGGGGTTTTGGGTAGTGCTGATCCCAAAGGATGTGGGAAGCAATTCATGTGGATACCTCATCATTGGTCTCTTCTTGAAGAGCCAGTCTCCAAACAGCTCGACATTTCGACGATACGATGCTGAAATTCATCCGGCAAACCCTGGCCCTCGATGAACTATTCAAAACTTCAAGACCGTGTACCCTCAAGGATAAACCCTATGATGTACCTCTAGCCCCAAACCCTAGACACTAAGAGGTCATTGCCCCGAAATTATAGGGTATGCTGACAACCCTAGAAAATAATCGGTCATAACCATTGAACCATTCTAGGCTAAAAGGATTTAGCCATCAAAACCTGGAGGCTCCATATCTACTACCATTATGGAAGTAAGCCCCAAAGAAACATACTTAATTATATCATGTACTCTCCCAAATATTAACCTAGACAACTATTGTCCGCAGCCAGAGTACCTGATTACTGGGTCCTTTGGAGCCTTAGGGATATGGAGCCTCTGGGAAACAGTACCCAGAGGGTCCGAGTACCCAAATAGTAAGGTTTTAGGTCCCAAAATCCATACTCTGAATGGTTTTTGGACCTTGAAGCCCTACTATTTGGGTACTTGGACCCTTAGGGTACTCAAAACTTCAAGACCGTGTACCCTCAAGGCTAAAAGAATATAACCCTAAACCCTAAACCCTAGACCCTAGACCCTAAACCCTAAACCCGGAACCCTAAACCCCCAGTCATCTCTTGTCTCGACGCGGCTCAAAGCCTGGGATCCCAGACTGAAATGTTTGTGAATGGAGGCTTAGGGTTCATCCCAAAGTGTTTCGGGGTTTATGGCTTAGGGTTTCCCTGGACCCCAAAGAACCTGCCATTTTAGGGCTCCTTGTTAGGATTTCCATATGTAAGTCCTTAAAACGGTAGGTTATTTGGGGGTTAAAGTAAGGTTTACAGTTTCCCAAGGTGTCCAAGTACCTAAAAACCATATACTCTCCCAGATAATAACCTCGATAACTTCGGACCATTGGGGATTCTTCATGTCAATGATCTTCCCTAACATTTCTTGAAGGCTGCCTTGAAAGGGTTCTATTTGAGTTCCTTTAAGGGTTTCTACCTTTGAGGGCTCGAAGCTGTAATACCGTGGGCAGCCTCAAAACCAGAACTCGCAAAGACCGCCGAGAAACTCAATAGAGCCTTTGTGAAGAGTTTGCAAGGAGATATGCATGACCCTTTTTGACGGTTTAGGCTTTAGGGTTTAGGGTTTAGGGTCTAAGGTTTAGGGTTTAGGGTTTAGGGTCTAGGGTTTAGGGTTTAGGGCTTTGGGTTTAGGGTTTAGGGTTTAGGGCTTAAGGCCCTAAGGACAACAAACCCCTTGCTGCACAGCCGCCCTTCGCTTCAGCGCGCGGTTCTCGGCAGTCATGGAAGCCTGGCGCATCGCGGCCAATGGACCCTGAGGGCCTCACTACCTAATAAGACCTCTTTAGTAGTACCCTAAACCCTAAACCCTACTTAAGTCGGAACGGAACCTCAAGCCTAAGCCCTGAACCCCTAAACTCTTATAACCGTTCACAGGAAGACCTAAACCCAAACGGTTGAGGTTTAGGGTTTAGGGTTTAGGGTTTAGGGTTTAGGGTTTAGGGTTTAGGGTTTAGGGTTTAGGGTTTAGGGTTTAGGGTTTAGGGTAGGAACCTTACCCTAAACCCTCAAAGTACTCCCCTGGTCGGTGCTATCCCGCCTGGACGGACTCGGCGATGAGGCGCCTCGGCTTCCGTGAGAGAGCCGGCAAAGCTATGGACCCAGGCTCTAGGGTCTAGGCTTTAGGCTTTAGGGTGTAGACTTTGGGATTTGGGGTTTAGGGCTGGGATTTAGGGTTTAGGCTTTGGGATTTAGGGTTTGGGGGCTGGGATTTAGGGTTTAGGGTCTGGGATTTAGGGTTTAGGCTTTGGGATTTAGGGTTTGGGGTCTGGGATTCAGGGTCTGGGGCTCGGGATTGAGGGCTTGCATTCCCTGCACATGCCAGAATAGACACCAACATCTCTACCCAGAGGTTCCAAGCACCCAAGTAGTACGGTTATAGGTCCCAAATCCCACACTCTGAATGGTCCTTGGCTTTTGAAACCCTACTATTTGACGACTTGGACCCTTAGGGCTACAGCATTCCGACTCTTACGGACCCAATCTTCTCCTTCAGGAACTGGCAAGGCCCAGAGACTCCAATATCCCTTAACTAAGGAATATACCTTAAATCATATTAGGGATCCTACTAGAATCATATTAGGGATCCTACTTCAAATTAAGGTATATTCCTTCATTAAGGGATATTGGAGTGTCTGGGTGGTTCAGGAGTCGGTGCCCCTAAACCCTTCCACCCTAAACCCTACTTGGAGGGTCGGGGGACTTAGTAAGTAGTTACTTCTATAGAGTTATAAGTACCATAACCCCAATTAGGATCCCATTTAGGTCACTTATAACTCTACTTACCCTAAGGGTCCAAGTGACCACATAGTAGGGTTTCAAGGTCCAAAAACCATTCAGAGGTATGGATTTTGGGACCTAAAACCTCACTATTTGGGTACTCGGGCCCTCTGGGTTATCACCTACTTACTAAGTCCTCCGACCCTCCACGTAAACCCTAAGCCCTGCCACCATAAATCCTCGAGGGGACCAGAAGCCCCTGCTTACATGGCTCGGCAGTCGAAGCGAAGCTCAACATATCCTAAGTACCTCCATGGGGGATTCTGGCAATAAACGCAATTCCTACTATGGAAACCCAACTTTCTACGATATAGGTATTTCTGACACTTTGGGATGTTGATCCCTGGAGCTCCTCTTTAAAGCACGCCTTGTAAAGGTTTTACAGCCCTCGTCGAGGCCGAATTGAATGCACAACTGAAGGAACTCCACAAAAATCTTAGTACCTCCTTCCTGCAGGCAGAAGAGGCAGGGGCATGCAGACACAAACATGCATCACTTGCTATACGACTGCAAGCAGAAGAAACAGAAACCATACATACACACACACATGACGTTGAATTGACCCAGCCTCTGTGGCTCGAGCTCGAAGCGTCAGGCGGGCATAGTTTACAAGGGATGGGTATTGCAGCGACAGCAGGTTCAGCCATGCTTGGAGCGCTGTTATGTGGGCTTCCAGGTCCCGCCAAACAGACAGCAGAGTTTATCTGCACACTGCTTGCGGCTGACACAAAGGACACAGAAGCCCGGCCTCAAGGCAGTGATGTGGTAGACGCTAGCATGACCCACCGGGTATGCTGGCGTCGCTTTCAGGGCAGCACCGAGATTCTGTGATTCATAAAAGGAGGGCGAACACTCCCCTCACTCCGCGCCGCAGCCTCCAAACTGATCGCGATGCTGAAGTCGAAGTTGTTCACCAAATAGAACTCCCCACCAGCCTTTCGGTTCCAGTCTGGCTGGAACCACTCTTCCTATAGACAAACTATAAACCTAAGCCCTGAACCCTAACCCAAGCCTGAACCCTGATCTAGGCCCTACAGCCTCCTAAACTACTAAAAGCCTCTGAACAAATCATCCCAAGCCCAGTAAGTAACAATATAAATATCCCAATGGCCTACCTAGTAAAACCTAACTTTCCGAAACCCCTAAAACCTAAACTCGTATAGATTCTTCAGAGGAACCCTCAAATGTAACCTTAAAGGTAACCCTCAAGTCCTAAACCCATAAACCCTAAACCACTAAACCCTAAAACCCCAACCCCTAAACCCTAAACCCTAAACCCCTAAACCCCTAAACCCCTAAACCCTAAACACCCCTAAACCCTCAAACCCCCAAACCCTTCAAAAAATCCTGGCGAGCTGCTCCACGCTCCGTTGTCGCGCCTCGGGGCACCTGCAAGTCGAGCCAGAGTCGGTTCAGACCCAGACCCTCCCATATCCCCCAAAAAAAGAGGGAATATAGGGTTTTGAGTTTAAGGTTAAGGGGTTTAAGGTTTAGGGTTTAGGGTTTAGGGTCTAAGGTTTAGGGTTTAAGGTTTAGGGTGGGTTGAGGGTTTGGGGTTTAGGGTTTAGGGTGTTGGGTTTAGGGTGTAGGGTGTAGGGTGTAGGGTTTAGGGTTTAGGATTTAGGGTTTAGGGTTTATAGAGTTTAGGGTGTTGGGTTTAGGGTTTAGTGTTTAGGGTGTAGGGTTTAGGATTTAGGGTTTAGGGTTTATAGAGTATAGGGTGTAGGGTTTAGGGTTTTGGGTGAGGGGTTGGAGTTTACGGTTTAGGGTTAGGGTTTAGGGTGTAGGGTGAGGGTGTAGGGTTCAGGCTTCTAGGGTGAACAGACTCGGGCTTCTACAAGACAAGATTGTTCGGATTTGATTAAACTAGACCCCTGAAATACATGGCTTTCGCCGAACATTGTCAGGTTATGACGCTTTTTGTAGAGACCGCATGGGAAACCTGTCATTTATGGAGCTTTATGGAAACTTCATGAGGGTTGTATCAAGACTTTTGCTTCCAAGGGACCCTAAACCCTAAACCCTAAACCCTAAACCTTAAACCCTAAACCCTAAACCCTAAACCTTAAACCCTAAACCCTAAACCCTAAACCCAATTTCAGGAATAAGGGACCCTCTTGAGGATCTGCCTTGGGGGTGAAGCGGTAGGGTTGCGATGAGACGCCTTCATTACTTGAGATTGATGCGGGTCTGTATATGGATAGCTCTATAAATTAGGGTCCCTATTTAGGTCCCCAAGATAGTACGGCACCCTTATAAGAAGGACCCTAATTTAGAGAACTACCCATATGGCTTTAGGAGGGTCTTCTAGGCTTCTATAGAGGGCTTCTATGGCACGCCCCGAAACACCCAGGCTTTCCCGAACACCTAAAAAGGATTCTTGTCGGATCCCTAATCTGACTTAAGGTATAGCGTTCAGGGTTTAGGGTTTAGGGCTCATAGAGTTTGGGGTTTAGTGCTTAGGGCCTATAGGGTTCAGTTTTCAGGTAAGCCTTAAGTAAGGGTGTAGGGCCTCAGGGAGATTCGGGGGTTAAAGGCTTTCGGGTTCAGGGTTTTGGGTTAAGCCCTAAACCCTAAACCCTAAACCCTATCACACTAAACCTTAAAACCCTAAACCCTAAACCCTAAACCCTAAACGCTAAACCCTATCACCCTAAACCTTAAAAC